TTTCTTGTAACTGGAGATGTTTATCGTAGAGACTCTATTGATTCGACTCACTACCCTGTTTTCCATCAGGTTTCTTATCTCTGATTTTTGCAATCATGGTTTCTGAATCTACTGGGCTTGGAAGTACTCTTCTTCCTTTCAATTAATTAATTCGTCTTACCTTGCAGATGGAAGGGTTTCGTGTTTTTTCTCCTGATGAATGGGAGGCATCTGGCTTGGATGGCACATCTTTTGCAGCTGAGGATTTAAAGAAATGTCTTGAGGGTTTGGCAAAACATTTATTTGGTAAAGTCGTTAAAACTTGTTGAGGTGTACAGATAATATTGTCAGTTGGTCTCATAATGATAATATATAGAATTTGGGAATTATTTTGGCTTGTTAGATGGTTAGGAACCTGGTGTATACAGTTTATAGATTTGGAAACTTGTGATTTGACTGGGAGAAGCAACACATATAATAAAACTAGGATAAGGGTGTCAATCTGCTGGACCTCACTTGGTATGGTGTTAAAGACATATGAAATAACATGCAGGTTCTTCATATTGTGAAGAGAAATTCATAAATTACATGGCTAGCTGGTAAAATACAGGATAATATAAAGTTCTAAGTTTATTTGTTTGTTTTTTCTTTTTGAGGAGAGACTCTATTATGTCGATTCTAATAGTTTTTAGTTTTAGAGGCAATGGCTCATAGCTCCTTTCTTTCTGGTGAAAATCACTATTGCAGCATTGGAAAATTAGTAATTTCTTTTAATGTGTTTCTTGCCCTTGCAAATATTTATATTTCAACAATAGCCTCCCCTTTTCATATCATCCTAGATCTATCTGTAATTTGTCATCAGGTGTACTACTATATGTCAATCCTTAGCCAATTCGGTTAAAAATATCAGGTCCTGTGGAGATGCGCTGGGTTGATACATATTTTCCATTCACCAACCCATCATTTGAACTTGAGATATATTTTAAGGTACTCTGCTGATCTTTAATCTTTTTCATAAGATAGCTTTGCACATTTTACTGTTTCATTATCCGTATGGTATTTATTTAGTTGGCTAAACACCCAAGTCATAGTTTATATATGGGGTGTGGAATTAATGTTTATTTTGTGAATTTAATAGCTGACTTGACACTAACAATAGGGTTGTCCAGATTCTTTGAATAGTGCTTGTGTACAATTAAACCCTACAACCTCTTTTTTATAGTGTATGGAAGGACATTGCTAATGGAAATGGATGCAATGTTGTGCTTGCAAAATTGAAACTTCTTTCTCTGTCAAACTTGTAGCAGAACATCTGACTCACCAACCAATGATCAATAATTTTTCAGGAGAAGTGGCTGGAAGTTTTAGGCTGTGGGGTGACTGAGCAAGAAATTTTAAAGAGAAATGGAAAACTTAATAATGTTGCTTGGGCTTTTGGACTGGGTTTGGAGCGACTTGCAATGGTTCTGTTTGACATCCCTGATATTCGGCTTTTCTGGTCAAATGACGAGCGATTTACTTCTCAGGTCCGGCCTTTAATGATAATATGGAGTTGCTGATTTCTCCTCTTCTTTCATGATATATTTGTTTTGATTAACTCCATTACAGAAATTGAATGCTTTAAAGTTGCAATTTGGCATTTTTTATATTTCAGTGATTTCCAGTAGATCTGAATAACTAATTTGAACCTCTGTTAAGCAGTTTTCTAAAGGCCAGCTAGGAATCAAATTCAAGCCATTCTCAAAGGTACATTTGCATTTTTCCTTTATAGATGGACGCTTCTTTTTCTTAATAAAAATTTAATATGAATTTCTAAATGTGGAATGTATGTGCAGTATCCTCCTTGTTACAAAGACATGAGTTTTTGGATCAATGAATCATTTACAGAGAACAATTTATGTGAAGTTGTCAGAGGAATTGCTGGGGATCTTGTTGAGGAGGTATAATATATATATATATATATATATATATATATATATATATATATATATATATATTTGGTGTGTTTTGTGTGTGTGTGTGTGTGTGTGTGTGTGTGTGTTGGGGGGGTAGGGTGAGGGTTTGTTGGTTGTGGATTTGTTTGTTAATTGCAAAATTGACCTGCTAATGTAAAACCACCAAGAAGATTCTCCAGAAGAAAACTAAGTTTATTCTGATCATTAATAGTCAACGTTCTTTGAATGTCTAGGTAGGGTGCTTATTTACAAGCACCAAAGCGAATAAAATAGGAAAACCTATTAAATATTCTTAATTCATAAAGGAAAATAAAATAATAAATTGACTACTAAATAATAAATACGAACGCTTGTAAAAAATACTAAAATTCTAGAGTAATCATACAGCCATAAATTCCAAAATAATCAAATATTAATTCCCATTGCTATCTTCTTCATCTCCCATCACCTGGGTAGTTTGGCCATATGTCATATAGATGCAGTCCCTTTCATTCTTTGCGTATGAGTTATTCTTAGTTATGTTATCAATTTCCATCAACCAACGGTGTGGAGGTCTTTGACACAATCCCTTGTAGATGGAGGTTTGTTAAATGTGCAAATCTTCCTCAACTCTTTCTGTAACATAATTGTTGAACACTTTACTGTCATTATCTCCCTGTGGTTTCTTCGTATTCAAGACATTTTGTAAGCTTGATGTATGGATCATGTCTGTTGAAAGGTTTGGAACTTAGTGGTACTAACTTCTAATCACCAAAACATTCTAATAGAATTCAAAATGGCTAAACATTCAGGTGAATGCCATTGCCATCTTACTTGCTAGTATCCATCATGGCTTAGAATTTTACGTAGAAGTTTAAATTGGGGAAAGAAGTCTGGAGTTGTTGAAAAGTCTTCAACCAATCACCTCCTTTTTAACATTGTTCTCCGAGGTCAACATGACCAGGCAATATTTCTGCAGTCTGGATGAAGATTCAATACTGGTACTAATCTTTATAGCTAATTTTGTGAATCAGGTGAGGTTGATAGACAATTTTACGAACAAGAAAGGAATGACGAGTCACTGTTACAGGATTGCTTACCGATCCATGGAACGTTCACTTACAGATGAGGAAATTAATGACTTGCAGGTATTTTTTTTTCAAAGGAAATTCATTTGTTTTATTTTATCTTTCCTGTGGGATACGGTTAATGATTCAAAACATCTTTACTATTGTGAATGCAGATGTCTGTGAGAGAACAAGTTCAGAGCAAGCTAAATGTAGTGCTAAGATGAGAGTTTGTTGTGCTACTAACCAAAAATGACAGCTTGAAAGATGTAACTTTCTTTACGAAAACAGTTATAGATGATGAGTTTTTTTCTTCTGTGTGTTGTATTACTATGCATTCCAAATTGTTCGTTGCAGGGACATACTCCACACACATGTAAAGGACTTTGGACATCATTTGGATATTTATAAATCATCAAAAACTGTCATTTTGTGGTGGAATAAATCAGTTATTTTTCTTTATTCTATCAGTAGACGCCTGTGGATATTGAGCAGCCATTATAACTTGTAGATGTAAAATTACAAAGCTCGCTGATGATGGACCTGCGTCAGATGATTCTTCGATTTTTGTTTGAATATAGAGATGGCAATTTGCCCCTCTCCGATGGAGTCGAATGTGGGGATTCCCTGAGTTGACTAGGGAAGGAAGCGGAGCGTCCCGCCTTGTATTTATTTTGAATAGAGATGGTATTTACCTGTCTTGTTTGCCTCGCTTCATACCTGAAATTATAATTATATCTTATATAAAATATGTGATTACTGACTTTTAGAGTTTATTTTTTATATAAATTATTATTGCAATAGTATGAAATTTGATAATAGAATAAGACAAGAAATAGAATAAGACAGGACAGAACTAAAACAAAAAATTAAACATGACATCAATGCTTTATGAGGATCTTCATATCCGTTTGGGGTGAAGATGATATGAGAAATATTGTTCTGTGTGGGGGCATGGAATGGGGACGGAGCAAAATTTTTTCAGTGCCTCAACTTATTTTTTATATGAATATTTTATTATTGTTTTGCAATAGTATGAAATTTGATAGTAGAATAAGATGAGACATGACTAAAATAAAAAATTAAATATGACATCGGTGCTTTATGGGGATCCTTATGTCTATTTGAGGCGGAGATGATATGAGAAATATTGTTCTATGTTGGGTATAGAACGGGGATGGGGCAAAATTTTCAGTGCCCCGTTGCCATTGCAATTTGAACAGATTTGTTGTCTAGTCCTAAAGCGTTCTGATTCCTCTTTATTATTATTTTTTTCCTGATATTCCAGCTTTGGCATACCTATTATTTCATTTCAATGATAAATGGTGCTCTCTATATGACATTTTTCAGGTTCAATTTTCTAGCAGCTGCCATTTCTTTGTTTGATGCTGTTCAAGATGGCAGACATTACAAACTTGTGCTGATTGCTGAGTATAGAGCCAGACTATTCAACTTCTGGAGAAATTACTGATGATTACTTGACCCAAATTAAATCACCGAACAAAATAACTTTTTGACAAAAACATATATGGATGAATAATTACTATAAGACTTAATCACCAGTGTCTTGGATTTCCTCTTCGAACTACTTCATCGGTATTAAGCTTTTTGTCCAACTTATATATATATATATATATATATGTATATAACCAAACAATACATCTTTAAATCTCTCACACTCAACATAAATTTTTTTAGTTTAAGTTGAAAGGGTTAAGGATATATTGTAGGCTTTTTCAGATAAAAAATTTTAGGAAAAACCAAACGATACATATTCAAATCTCTTATACTCAATAAATTTTTTTAGTGTTAAGTTGAGGGTTTATTATGTAATGTTGTGATAAAAAAAAATTATTTTGAATTCGAAAGAGTTAAGGATATATTGTACTTGTAGGATTTTTGAGATAAAAAATTTTAGAAAGTATTTTAATTATATATATATATATATTCTTTCCCTCTTTCATAGCCCCTAACCCGCCAATACTGAAAGAACTACTTTTTCAATCTTTTATAAACAAAAATGGACGCCGGCGAGCACACACCACCATCACCGGAAACCCTCCCAATGCAAATAGAAACCGAACAACAACTACGGTCCCCCTCAGAGCCACCAAAAATCCACCGTCTAGAAGAGTCCGTAGTAAACAGAATCGCTGCAGGAGAAGTAATCCAACGTCCTGTATCCGCCATCAAAGAACTAGTAGAAAACAGCCTCGACGCTCACTCCACTTCTATAAGCGTCGTCGTTAAAGACGGTGGCCTTAAACTCATTCAAGTCTCCGATGACGGCCACGGCATTCGTGTAATTAAAAAAATATTCAATATTTTCTCTTGCAAATATCATTTTGTAAAACAATTGCGTTTTTATTTTATTTTATTTTTTGTTGCAGTATGAGGATTTGCCTATACTATGCGAGAGGCATACGACGTCGAAGCTGACTAATTATGAGGATTTACAGTCGATTAAATCAATGGGGTTTAGAGGAGAAGCATTAGCTAGCATGACTTATGTAGGTCATGTGACTGTCACTACTATTACTCAAGGCAAATTGCATGGTTATAGGCAAGTAAACAATAAAAAAGCTGTGCATTTTACTTGTTTGATTAAATGCCCCTGTGAAAAGTTTTCAACTTTACCTGTGCTTCTGTATCTTATATTCAAAATCAAATAATTTTAGTAGTTGATAGAGGATTGAGTTTTGGTTTTGTTTTTGTTATTGTTGTTTTTTCAGCGTCTCGTATAGAGATGGTGTAATGGAGAATGAGCCTAAGCCGTGTGCTGCTGTTAAAGGGACTCGGATAATGGTGTGTGGATTTGAGTTTTCAGTTTATGTTTGGTTTGCTTATTTAACTTATAAATATTTGCAATGTATAAAGCAAAGAAAAAAATGGAGATGTAATTATGAGTGCAAATTTAGAAGACCACTGCATGTTAAAGTTTGTTTGATAGATGATATTGGAGGTCATCAAATAGTTCAATCTTGGACAATGAATGAACGCTAGTTGATTTTGATCAAGAAAATGCTAAAATTTACTGGAAATTTTAGTAATATTGTCTGATTTTCTTTATTATTATTATTATTTTAAATATTTTTCTTCCTCAAATAATTTGGGGTGTGTGTTCAATATTTTGATGCTTGTCTTATCAGGTAGAGAACTTGTTCTATAACATGATAGCAAGGAGGAAGACACTCCAGAATTCAGCGGATGATTACTCAAAAATAGTGGACTTGCTAAGCCGATTTGCTATTCATCACATAAATGTGAGCTTTTCTTGCAGAAAGGTTGGTCTCATGATTGCCAAATCTTAATTTTGTATTTTAAGCTGTATGGAGTTTTGTGTGATTTGAATTTCTATTGAATACTTCTGGTGAAAATTTTCTAATGCTACTCTAATCAGCATGGAGCATCTAGAGCAGATGTCCACTCAGTAGCCACCTCATCAAGGCTTGATTCCATCAGATCTATTTATGGAGTTTCTGTTGCTGTCAATCTAATGAAAGTAGAAGTTTCGGATAATAATCCTTCAAGTTCAGTTTTTGATATGGATGGATTCATTTCTAATTCAAATTATGTTGCAAAGAAAACAACAATGGTGCTTTTTATCAATGGTATGTAATTTTCTCGTAGCAAGAAGTCTATTCCCATTTCCTGAGCTATTTTGATGCTTAAGAAAATGTGGCTGTACTTCTGGCCCACTTTTATCTCTTGTAACACAAATTGGGTGACTGGGTCTTGTATGGTCTCCTGAACTTTAGCAACCATTACCGTTAATCTTATGGAGTGTTACTGTCCAAATGAGAGCCTTAAACTTCGAGCGCTCTATGACTTTCCAGATAAATTCAACAAGCTAAAATGTTTTATGAGGATTGTTATGGAAAGAAGAAAAAGAGGATGAATTGATAATTATTTGAAGTTGTATTCCCTCTTTTACTTTTTTCCCCCCTTTTCTGTAAGATTATGCAAAAAAAAAAAAAAAAAATCTGGTTCTCATACATTTTACTTTGGTCGTTTTTGTTTACTACAGATAGACTAGTGGAATGCACTGCTTTGAAGAGAGCTCTCGAAATTGTTTATGCTACCACCTTACCAAAAGCTTCAAAACCCTTTATATACATGTCAATAGTATTGCCACCTGAGCATGTTGATGTGAATGTGCATCCAACGAAGAGAGAGGTATGTATTTCTAGGGTTGGCACTCAATACCCAAAACTTCTGATATGATAATTTTATTTGGTAAATCTGAACATTGAGGAGAATAATATGGATAAGCATAAAGTGGAAAAGAAAAAAAAATGTACTCAGATCCCTTGTTCTAGGCAAAAAATCAGGCTGAATGATTCGTTGTGCAATTAGTCATAATTAGAGGGAGGGGGGGGGGGGTTAGGGCTGGGAGAAAAAGGAAAAAAATCCTGTAACAATGTCAAATTCTTCTGAAATTTTTGTTTGGTGCTATGGCCTAAAATGAAAAAAAAAAAAACATAATTCTGCATTTTTCTTATAGCTAATTCAGATCATCAGTAAAATAATTCTATTTTATCATGTTTTTTTTCAATGTTTCATTTCCATGTATTCCAGTTTTGTTTGTTTGATTGTAATGATAATATGTTTATTATGGTTTGTCATGCATTGCCCCATAGTAAATGTAACTTAACTTCAACTGTTTAGATCAGCAAATGGAGGGTATACTTGAAAGACTGTCGAGAGCCAAATTTAGCATGATTGGGTGAATTTAGATCCTCCCGTTAGTGAAAGTACCAAACTTTAAACTCAAGTAATTCACAAACCTTGTAATGAATTCTTTCGTTTTAACCTTTATCATGTGGCTTTATTAGGTTTTAACTATGTCCCAATTCTGTCCTTTGAGTCATCGTGAAGAACAATAGGTAATCTAAAATGTACTATTGTGTGATATTTTATTCTTACATTATATCAACTGCTGTTGTTTGCAACGTGTGCGAGCATGACTGTTTGCTTTGAAATTCAAGTTGGCTTCTTAGCACATATGGGGGTGAACTTAGGTGCTCACATGCAGAGGACAGTTTTCAGTGATATTTATAGCGGGTTGGACAGATTTCAGTGATATTTATAGTGTGTAGTTATTGTGAAGGTAAAAAGAAAAGGAACGTTCTTATTGCTTTATTCACTACTTGCATGAGCTTACTTGGGTGTGATTGGCGAGGTATGTCTCATATGCTCAGGTTACATTATACTAAATGCCAATGAGTTGTACTGTTTGATTCATTCAAAAGGAAAAATAGAACATAGCTAACTGTACATGAATTTGGTAGAGAAAGAACTGGGGCATAGCTTGTCATTTACTTTAAATCCTACTCCCTTCCAAACCTATATATTAATATGTTTACAGGAAAGAAATCATGTATTAATATGCAGGTCAGCCTTCTGAATCAGGAAGTCATTATTGACAAGATACAATCTGCTGTTGAGTCAAAATTGAGAAACTCAGATGAGGCAAGGACATTTCAAGAACAGGTATGTTTTGGTACTGAAGCTCGGAACTTGATGTTTTCATGATTTGTTAGATATATGTTTCGTTTAAATCTGACCAACCTATGAATATTACCTCCAATACTTGGTTCCAAAGCGTTGTTGAGAAGTACCAAATCTATCAGTGTCTTTCTTTTGACAACATATAGTAACTGGTTAATTCACACCCAAATTTGTTGGATCATCCGATTCCAATTGCTTTATTATGTACTCTAGACATTTTTAATATTTATTTAGAATGATAACTCCTTTCACATTTAAGAAGAAAAAGGTTCCAATTATTTTTATGAACATTACTTTTGTTGTTGTTATTTGTCATAATATTCTTTTCTATTATTGGGTTACAGTGTATATGTAGGATTTTGTTTCTTTCTCTGAAAGTAAATGGGCTGGAATATGATCACAACCTCCTCTTTTGGTCTCTCTCTCATTCTTTGTTACCCCCTCTTCTTGCATCATTACCTGAATTCCTTGCTAATGCCCATTGATTTATTGAGTCGGATTAAGCCTGCGCATCAAGTCACCAAGCCCACTCTGCATGAACCTGTAATACCTAGTTTTCGAATTTAGAGGATAGAAGGGGCTCTTTTGAGAATACGAAGTTGAGCCTATTTCATGTCTTAAGCATCCTGACTCTGGAATTTTATGTTTAAGAATTTCTGCTATCACATTTTGAGCTCATTGTTCTAAAAATACTTATGGAGCCTATCTGCATGTTTCCTGGGTCTTTGGTGCCTAACACTGGGCAAGATGTAAACTCTTTTTCTTTTGTCGCCTTGATTCTTACTAGACTTTTGCTTCTAGTGTGGCACTATTTCTGCAGTTATCTGAATTGATGAATTTATCCTTTTCCCTGTATTTCCATCATTCCTGTTATGCATGTAGACAGTGGATCCCTCTCAAGGTGGCTTTTCAAGTGCAAGAAAGGATTCAAATGTTAATCCCTCGCCTTCAGCTTATGGTATGGAGCTAATATGCTGGTTGCCTATGGGTTTCTTTAATACTCTTGTCATCTTCACCATGTGACACCTATTAAAATACTGTTATAATATATAATGTAATCAGGGTCAAAATCGCAAAAAGTTCCAGTAAATAAAATGGTAAGAACTGATGCCTCTGATCCTGCTGGAAGGTTGCATGCATATTTGCAAGGCAGGCCTCTTGCTCCTCTTGAAGGGAATTCTAGCTTGGCTGTTGTGAGGTAGGTTTCCCTGACCAGTTAGTGTTTTTATGTGACAAATGTGAGCCAGTTGACCCAATTCTAACTGGCTTAAGTGCAACCATCATAAACATACTTTATTTTTCATATGGCTTTTTGAATGTCTCATTATCAAACAAGGCATTCTCTTTTTGCACATATGTGGCCACACTAGTCAATTAGCCCAGACTGATTACTGCATTAAGTTCAACTTTTAGCAAAATATCCTTTACTAATTGAACTAGTTGATTAAATTCCTTTTTTTTTTTTTTTTTTTTTGGAGAAAGAAATACATTAATATGTGGCCACAACTTTTTGTTCAGTTTTTCATATGGCTTTTTGAATGTCTCATTATCAAACAAGGCATTCTCTTTTTGCACATATGTGGCCACACTAGTCAATTAGCCCAGACTGATTACTGCATTAAGTTCAACTTTTAGCAAAATATGCTTTACTAATTGAACTAGTTGATTAAATTCCTTTTTTTGTTTTTTTTTTTTTTGGAGAAAGAAATACATTAATATTTGCTGCAAAGTCTTCTCCACATGAAACATTTTGTTCAGTTGTTTCTATCCTGATTCTAATTGTTCTAAGAAAACACTCCGACAATCAAAAATTCATTATGTAAAACACATCAAAAACTCAGATGAGAGTTCATTGGGCATTTGATATTCACAGAACCCATGAAGAACTTGACTACAAAATTAAATAAACGTGATAATATGGGATGATGAGAGTTTTCATTTAGCATTTATTCTCATTTAGCATTTATTCTCAATCTGCTTCTTTCTTTTTGTCACCTACTCTTCTTCTTCTTCTTCTTCTTTTTGATTGTTTTCTTCAACTGTTGAATAAGAAATTGCATGCTTTTACCATTTGTAAAGCATTATTTTTTTTACCCTAATCTTGACTAAATTTAATCCATGAACATTCCAAACTACATCCTTCTCAAATTTTACCCCTAAATTCCAATCAGCATCAGAAAATGAAGATATCTATACTGTCCCATTCGTTTAGGTAACGTTGAAAAGGATGCTTCATATTATGTGAGGGGTTATCATCAGACTCTTTGCATATTTTTTGGCGCCATCCTTGCCTTGAGTTTTTCTTTATTGTAAATTGGGGACCTGGGTGAAAAAAGAAAAAAGAAAAAGACTAGGACTCCATGAGGGTTCCTTGAGTCCACAAGAAGACAGTAGCTAGAAGTCCATGGAAGGAAACACTTGATTTGCTATTAGGTCTCAGTTGTAATGTCTTTCGCACAGAAGACCGTTCCGAAATGAAAAATATGTTTGCTTATATAGTCATGCCAAGCCAGAGTCCTAAGTAAAATGGGATTCCTGCATAAAATGGGAAATAAAAAAAAATAGACTATTTTTGTTAAATTGGTCCTCCATCAGTTTGTGCATCTCCTTTCCATTTTTTATCCTTCATGTGAGTAGGTGATTGCTTTCCCCTAAAAAGTTTGATTTTGAATTCAACGATGACATTCATGAATGAGTTTAATATGCATACTCAGTTACCTGATTTTTGTAAATTCTTCAACTGCAGGTCTTCAGTTAGGCAAAGAAGGAACCCAAAGGAAAGTTCAGATGTTTCTTCTGTTCAGGAGCTTGTTAATGATATTGATGGAAACTGTCATTCAGGTAGTTTCTAACCATATTTGTCATGTTTCCGAAAGTGAAATCCTTTCATAAATTTTGTATGTATCGGATACTTCTTCTGATGTATGTGACTGTAGGTCTGCTGGAAATTATAAGAAACTGCACGTATATTGGGATGGTTGATGATGTTTTTGCATTGCTTCAGCATAGCACACTTCTGTATCTTGCAAATGTAGTGAACTTAAGGTAACAATTCTATAACAATTCTATGTTGCCTGAAATTTCACATTAAATATGTGCTTATAAGAACTATAACTGTCCATTATTGTATTGGCAACATCTTAGCATGGTCTCTTTATGCGTGAATCACCTTTTAAAGTAATGAAGGTTGAAGATGCATTCAGTATTGCTTAATTTTTTGAATGATCCTACAAGGGTTGCTTGCTTGAGAGAATATGGCTATTCAACCTGATATATACAAGCATATATGTTCTCCTTTCTTATTTCTTTCTCCAATAGCTGCTTCATAACTAATTCTGGATGTTTAATAATACCTTATATTTTTTTATTGCATTATTGTTTTAAGTTGGTATTGGAAGTATCATCCACAACAGCTTTATTGTTTATTTTCTATATTTGGTTTAATTGGTCCTGTAGGACACAAGGGGTGTTCAACCAACTCTATTACATTAGCTGTAAGAAACAGGCCAAGCCACTAGGAACCATTTGATTTTTTTGCTCCACTGAGCAGAATTGACTGACTAGTTCTGTTTCTATGCATTTACAGCAAAGAGCTCATGTATCAGCAAGTTCTACGCCGATTTGCACATTTTAATGTTATACAACTGAGTGAGCCAGCCCCCTTCAAGAGCTTATTATGTTGGCATTGAAGGAAGAAGACTTGGATCCAGAATCCATCGAAAATAATGACCTGAGAGAGAAGATTGCAGAAGTAACTTCTATTCTTTTAGGTTGATTGCTTCATTTGATTTCCATTTAAGTTCTCTATTACCCATGATAAAAGAAGTAAAAAATAAATAAAAATTCTGTATTACCAAATGTCTTGAACCTTATGAGTTATCATTTTAACAATTGCTGGGTAGTTTGCTTATTGAATAAAACATTATGATGTGTGGCTGAGCTTGAATTTACTTCTGTTGAACTGTGGTTTTTGTTTCTCAAATATTCATACTGTTATAATTTTTTGTTTTGACACTAGCATGCATGTTCTGATGGTAAAAAAAAAAAAAAACTTTGTTTGCAACGTTTTGCTACTTAAAAATAAATTCAAGTCAGTGTGCTTATATGTTGATAAACATATCATAGTAAACATAAGTGTTACTTTTCTTAAAATCTAAATGGAAAAATATGACTGCCATTAATGATGATTTTTCATTCTCATTAGATCTAGAGCAATAGATGATATCACATTCGTGTTATTTCTTTAAAATATTACCTTAATAATAAACATGAACTTTTTGCAGTTCTTAAATATTTGTACTTTCCTTGTGTTATGTTTTTTATTCCTCTTTTTGTGGTTCTAAATTTTGACATTATGGTTATTGTTTCTGTTGAATTCTGAACCCAATCACATGAGATGAGCTTTTCAGCATGGTCAAAGGTTTCTAATTACTGCAGCTTAAGGAGCAAGCTTTTGTTTTCTCATTGTGCCTTGTATTTTTTATTTTCATTTAATTTTCTTCAGATGAACACTGAACTGCTTAAGGATAAGGCAGAGCTGCTACTGGAGTATTTCTGCATCTGCATTGACTCTCATGGGAATTTGTCTCGGCTTCCTGTCATACTTGACCAATATACACCTGACATGGATCGGATTCCTGAATTTGTACTTTGTTTGGGCAATGATGTAGGTTTGAGATTCCTAATTTTTAATTGGTTTGATATTTAAATCCTATTAGATGAGGCGTTTGAGATTGAAAATAATTTCTTTTGTTCCCCTCTTTTTGCTGTTTTTCCTTTTGATTTGTTTCTTTGGTGAATGTTTTGGTGATAGGAATTGTAGTATATTACATGTTATTTTTTGTTTTCCCCTCTTCATTAGTCTAAAATTATTCCATTAAATAATTGCTTTTAAATTTCCTTGCATGTCTAATTTTAACAAAAAGAAATATATTGCAATTGAATTAAGTGGTAGAAGTATGTCTAAAATAGAAATAATCTGATGATGTATGAATTACACATTTGATGCTCGTTGTTCTATGTAAGGAAGCTTTGTTGTTCACTCTGGTTCTTTCACTCTATTTGTTATAAAGCCAAAATATGAAATTGCACATTTGTTTTACCATCTCATCTTCATGTGTTAAAATGTGGAAGTGCCTAAAACAGTGGGGAAGCATATAGCAACCAAACCATTAATCCCTTATAGGTATGCCATTTCTGTTCATAAATTTGGTTTTAAACTCTTTTTGTAGGTTGATTGGGAGGATGAAAAGAACTGTTTTCAAACAATTGCGGCAGCTGTTGGGAATTTCTATGCCATGCATCCTCCTCTGCTGCCCAATCCCTCAGGTGATGGCTTACAATTTTACAGGAGGAAAACTGAAAAGAATCACAATGATGAAGAAAATGCCACTGATACAGGTACATCTGCTGTTGGGAACTAGATGCATTGTTTACTATTTAACATCTGTCCAGTATAATATTTGGATTTCTCATTTTTCTTTTTGTGGTAACTGTGGCTTTTGTGAGTTAAGTATGGACTTCTTAATACTTGAGCATCACAACATCTTCTGTGTAGCTATAATAGGAGCTGCAAAATAAGTATATGTTCTTCAGGTAATATTTGTGAGAATACCATGCTTTTCATAAATTGATCAGATATGTTATAGCAACTTTGATGACTGCACTGATAATCGCAGAAATCATTAAATAATTTTCTAACTTTTGGATGTTGTGATGAGGCTTTATACAATTATGTATGAAAATGAAATCATAAGACACCTTTTGGGTTCCTTTTAAAAATGTTCTTCGTCTTATCATGCTGCAGTTCATCATTTAATTTATTGTAGCCAAGGTGCAAAGCTTTTGATTTCATGTAAAACTCCCATGTTTTTAAATAAGATATCTTCTGTAGATTTTGCGAAAATAGTATACTTCTAAATAGGGAAGTGACACGAAAACTCTCCTGTGGTATTTGCTTGATATCACTTGGTCACCATGTGGTTTGGGTTGGCATTTCTCCGGTTTGCCCTTCTGTGCTGTACTTAGTTATCTGATTCTTTTAGATTTGACAGACATGGCAATAGCCCAAACAATTATTATTTCATAATTTTCTGTCATCATGATTCTTCTCATGGAACATTCTAATAGCATCAATATTTCCAGCTGATCTATTCTCAATGATTTCCAGAATGACTTGATTCTTTCTGCAAAAACATTCAGCTTTAACAGAGCATGCGACAGTGGTGATTGCTAACTTCAATCACAGCATTGAAGAATTGACTAAAATCAGAACATAAAAACAGCATGCCTTTCCATCTGAAGATCATTTTTCTTGTCCCCTCCTGTGCTGTACTCGGCTAACTGATTTTGTTAAATTGACAGGAAAGCAATTTCATTCTTAGTCTTGAAGACCATTGGTTAATGATTTTGTTAAATTGACAGGAGAGCAATTTCATTCTTGGCCTTGAAGACCATTGGTTAATGATTTTTTTTTTTTCGCCATCATTCTTCTCATAGAACAACACTCTAGCACATGCCTCATGATGTTTCCAGTTTTATCTGTCCACTTTTATTTTCAAACATTGTTTTTCTCTCTTAAATGTTCATGTAATGGTGATAATTATTAAATCATTGTCACCTGAGATTACTACCTGGCGTAACTCGTGAAAGCAATGACATTAAAGAAGCATGTCTTTCCAAATTGCCTGTTTCCATTGCCAATCTTTGCTTCCCCAGTCACCAATTTCATGATCAATGGGAAGTACAAAAACGAATTTAGCTTCATGTTCAGAAGCATGAATATAGGATCAAAACAAAAATGCAGGGTTGATTGAAAAAAACTGTTGAATGCTGGACTCAGTCAGGCAGAGGTGAAAAAATCAGCAAGGTTTCATAAGAAATTTTTGAAGTTCTTACCATAGAAGTGGCCTGGTCCATTGTTTGTGGTCTTGAGTTTTTTGCATTTCATGCTAGCTAATTGATGATGTTATCTGGCTTTAAAAGTTTGTCTTGCATATTTCTTCACCAAAATTATCTTGCTACACTGGTTACCTGTAAATGATGATGTTCTTATTTAAAACACTTCTCACACCCTATCTACTTTGTACTTGAGGCTTAGTTGACTTGAATACCCACCTTTTTCTTCAAGCAGAGAAAGCTCCTCAAATGTCTAATAATTGATTGTGCCTCTTTCTAGTTTTACTTAGAGATTAGGCAGTATTTTACCATTTGTCCGTTCTCCTTACAGGTCTTCTCCATGAGGTTTCAACCTTACGTTTCTTTTCATTTTTACAGGAGATGTTGAAGTGGAGGATGAAATTGAGCATGAACTACTGTCGGAGGCAGAGACTGCATGGGCCCAGCGTGAATGGTTAATACAGCATGTATTGTTTCCCTCCATGAAACTCTTTTTGAAGCCACCTACTTCAATGGCTGCAAATGGGACATTTGTTCAGGTAAGAATAGCCGGGGCAGTGGGGTTGGTACTCCTTTCTACCTTTCCCTTATCAGTGTTGCCATTTATTATAATCACTACACAGCATGTGTTTGTGGGACTGATTTATGATCCTTGCTTTGCACAGGTAGCTTCGTTGGAGAAGCTTTACAAGATTTTTGAGAGATGTTAAATGAATTCTTTTCAGATTTAACTGCAGAATCCTCACAGACAGGAGCAGTTCTTTTGCTACTCGACTGGAAGATGCACTGGGGATTTTTGCCACTACATTTTGTGTGGCCTTTCGGTGGACTGGTTCTATCTTTTTGCTTATTGCTGATAGATCAACAAACAGTACTCTGTGTTGTAAAGAAAGAATTTTGCAATAAATCCACCAGAATATGGTATATTCAAGACCTGTAGGTTGCAGCATAGGTCTTTTATGATTTACGGGTTCATTAATTTAGCCCTGTTTTTTCTGTGTCTAAGCTTTTCCATATTTTGCCTTTCGTAATCTGTCGATTGGGAATCGGGGAATGCCGGGGTCATAGTTACTGCTGTCAGATGCCACGAACATCACTTGCAAACCTGAGTAGATTCAATTAAGTAGCATCAGCTTGTACCCACTTGGACATGGTACTGCAGAACGAAAATAGTAAAACAAAGCAACTTCTTAGTTTTACTGCTTTACACTTGCAGAGAGTTCTAAAAAGAACTTTAATAGAAAAAATGGTAATGCTATATATTGAACATAACCCAGCCAGAGAGAAAATACACAGGATGGTGATCGGCAACTACATGAAAAATAAATCTGATACTCTATTAAACAATCATTTAACCTAAATTAAAATTTTATTAATTGTTTTTATTTTTTATTTTTTTTGATAATAAAGGTATCTTCAAATTAGTTTGTATGTGAATCGAGATTAAATTTTTCTCATTATGATCATTTTTTTTTAACTTTTAATTATGCTGAAAGTATCTAACTAAAATCAGCTCTCTCATTGAGATTACTTTTGATTATGCTGAATGTATCCAACTAAAATCTTATACTTTAACGTGGCCTATATATGAGCAAATCAATTGACCAAATTATCTTATTTTCTGTAGTTTTGAGTGTGATACATTAGGAAAAATGTTGAGACTCATCACCCACAAAATATACTTATTTTCAGTCTGTATCCATTTTAAGATCCAATTTGTTCGAGATCCTGCTCTATTTTATCCTAAAACCATTTTATTACCACTCTTAATATGTCAGAAAAAATATAACTCTTCATGTCTCTCGCGAAGTTGCAATAAAAGGACCCATCTACTCGAAACATGCCTATACAGGACTCCATACCAAAAAACTCCCATGATCGGGGGTACCCACGCGCTAAACCCACCGTCAATCTCCGGCCTGGTTCACTCTCCTAATGGGGAGAAACAAGAACAAATATTAAATGTAAGACATTGCCCACATGCCAATCTTCTAAAATAATAGTATTTATGTCAATATCCATAAGACATTCACTTAAGAGAATTCTTAACTTGAAAATATATTTGTCAAAAGAAGTCGTTGCATAATAAAAAAAATGATATTCTAGCCCTAAAAAAAAAAAGATGAATATGTCTTTCACTTTATATTCTCTCCTTGAACAATGAGAAAACGATCTTTTAGCCCTCAAGAAAAAAATCTTCACTCGCTAATGGGGAGAAATAAAGAACAAATATTAAATGTAAGACATTGCCCACATGCCAACCTTCTAAAATAATGATATTTATGTTAATACTCAAAAGACATTCACTTAAAAGGATCTTTAACTTGTAGATATATTTGTAAGAAGAAGTAGTTGTACAATTAGAAAAAGATCTTCTAGCCTTAAAGAAAAAGACGAATATGTCTTCCACTCTATACAAGTTGATTATTCCCCTTCTATTATATAAAAGGTTAACCTCACACATTATAAGAGATTAGGTTCTATCTTTTACACTCTCCATACATACAAATATTTTCTCTAAATATAAGAAAAAGCATACTACTAAGCCTAATCAAGCCACACTCACCAAAAGATATACAACTAATTAATCAAGCTAAATATCTTTCTTCGTACGCTATTTAGTCATTAGTAAGTCCTCCAAAACCTAAGAGAAAGAATTTGTTTTTGCAAGTACTCGTTATAGGATTCCAAGCACAAGGATAAATCTCCACCCCACGATCGATCAAGGAGGAAGCACATCCAACCATTTAAAAAATTTGAGAAATCACAATCTCGTTAGTGGTGTCATTTGTAAAAACCGAGTAAAAAGCTAGTCCCTAGTCTTTTTACTTCTCCAATCTCTAAACTTCTCCATAGTTGAGAATCGAAAACTCCATCGTGATCTAAACCATTTAATTTTTCGTCTCGTAACTCCATCGGTCGATGTGTTGCACTCTCCATACATATAAATATTTTCTCTAAATATAAGAAAAAGCATACTACTAAGCCTAATCAAGCCACACTCACCAAAAGATATACAACTAAGCTTAATCAAGCCAAATATCTTTTTTCATACGCTAACATAGTCATTAGAGAGTCTTCCAAAACCCAAGAGAAAGAATTTGTTTTTGTAGGTACTCCCTATAGGATTCCAAACACAAGGATAAATCTCCACCCCAAGATCGACCAAAGAGGAAGCACATCCAACCGTTTAAAAAATTTGAGAAATTACAATCTCGTTAGTGGTGTCATTTGTAAAAAACCGAGCAAAAAGCGAGTCCTCGCTTTTTTACTTCTCCAATCTTCAAACTTCTCCATAGTTGAGAATCGGAAAACTCCATCGTGATCTAAACCATTTAATTTTTCTTCTTAGCACTCCATCGCTTGATGTGTTATAGCTACAATGACGTTTTTAGCTACGAACTAAGACCTACATATCAACTTAGAAGTAGATAAAATCTTTAGCTACTTTGCAACCAATAATAAAACTCAATAAAGGCCTTTATGCGAGTCTTGAAATCGTATTTCCATCGAAAGATTGATGAGGAACTCATCACACCAAGAGAGATTGCATCATTAGTCCGCCAAAGACATGATGATCAAATATAACAAACAGAAGCGAAAGAAAAAAACACCATTTCTCCTTAAAACCTCATTAGCGCCGCCATCTTGGCAAAGAGCTAGTCAACCAAGGCTCTCAAAGAGGGAAAAAAAAAGATGATAAAATAGAATATCATCAAAGCGCAAAGAGCAGGTACATAGAACCGGTGCAAAAACAAATACAGGAGTACCTTTTTGCCATCCTAAACCTCTTATGTGCACCCTAATCCTAAGGGCCAATGGCAAGAAAAATGACCAATAGTCATTGCCATGCAACTAGAGCCGGACCGCTATAACCACAAGCGCTAGGCTTCCCCACTCGCTCCCACATCCTAACTACCAAGCTCCCAAGAGAGTTTTTCATCATAAAAATGAACTTGAACATCCACGATGGTATGATCGACCCACTAAAACATATTCAAAATATCCAAATTAATCTCAAGTTGGTCATCTAAAACTCCAATGTCATACGTAAAGTACGTCCTACCGCTTTTCAAGAAGTGGTCAAAAAATATTACAACAACCTAAACACCAAATCAATTCTTAAATTTGAGGACCTATGCTCTAAAGTTGGTGGCTCGTCTGCTCCACCGGTATTTTTGCCAAAAGAAGCACAAGAGACTTGTTCTTAGTCTCCCAAAGAGAAGGAGAGAGTACTCCCTTCGCTTTCTTAAACAAAAAATATAGGTTGATGGATTGTTGAAATCGGTTGTCATAGAAGCCCTAATAGTAGGCATCAACAACTCTAACTTACGAGAAAAGATTTATGCTCTCTCCAATAGGAACCTCTACTAGGTTATGAAGGTAGTGGAGAGTAACATAGGTGGAAGAAGCAATTGTCATTCAACAAGCTCAACCATGCTTCGACAGCCAGTAGAGAAAATATAGAGAGAAAAATCTCTACCGATCCGCTCCAGAGTGCAAAGAAAAATCCTCCATTTGCACAACTATCCGATCTTCTTAGAGCTCTAGATAACTCCTCTAAACGCCTCTTGAAATAGAGGTTTTGTCATCATAAAAAGTGAACATTATGTCAACTCGCTCTACTTCAATGAAAGGACCTCAAACGATGTGTTGCCTATATCACCAAGACATGGGTCACAACAAAGAGAATTGCTATTTTTTAGAAAAGGAAATAAAAAGATTGATAGCTAGGGAATTCCTCAAGCAATTAGTCAAGATGGATCGAGGAAGGCCAAATTGAGCCATCGCTAGTTTAAAAATATCCCACTATCTACAAAAATGAGATTAGATATTTTTTAGAAATTAAAATTGGGCTACGTTATAAATTTTATTATATTGTTACTTTTTTTTATTTAGGAGGTAGATTAAAAATACATATTAGTATTACGGTAAATTATATGTTAGTGTTTTGTCAAGAGTACAATAGTTTATCAATTTATTTAATTATTTTTAACTTCTGAAATTTATACATTAGGTTGCACCTTGGCCACGAGAAAAGTGGAAACATCATGATAATAGGTTCCCGTTCTACAAGTTAGCAATATTAGCAAGGCTATGAGCCACTGTATTGTGAGCTATGAACCAAGACTTTTAGAAATCAGGTTAACTAAGGGAAGTCAATCTGATTCTAAAATAATCTTAGACAATCATGGTTTCCCCAATCACAATCGGCTGCTGCGGTAGGAGACGTTTGTGAGCACTTAGCTAGATTTGTCCTTAATAGTCCAAATCCAGGACACCAGCATCCTTTGGCAATTAATCTAAAAAATAAAATAAAATAAAGCACTGGGACCTCAGAGACCCATGATTATACCATCATGTTAGTATACCTCATAGTTTTTTTTATTTATTATTTTTTAAATTCACACATCCAAGGCTCATATAAAATTTATTATAATAAGATTTGAATCTATAACTTTTTGTTACACTAATTCACTACCACTTTGCAAGATTTGTCTATAATGGTCCAAATCCATGACACCTGCATACTTTGGCAATTAATCTAAAATATAAAATAAAATAAAGCACTGAGACCTCATAGATCTATGATTATACCATCATGTTAATATATCTCACAATTTTTATTTATTTATTATTATTTTTTTAATTTATATGTCAAAGACTCTTATCAAAATTAATTTGTTAGGATTTAAATTCGTAACTTCTT